CGGAAGAAGACAAAGAAACAGGCAGCTGCAGGACGGGACTGAGGGGTGATCCAGAGCTGGCCAGTCTGCTGGCGAGGAACAAAGGAGCTCCCTTTAATCAGGCTTGGTTTCTATGCTAACAAGCTCCTCTATACCTGACCTTCACTGTAGACCCCTCTCAGTCATCGTGACCTCTCATCCATGAGTAAACCCTTAAAACAACTCGTCCTCATACTAGGGACTGACTGATATGAACATTTTATCACCAATACTGATACTGATTTAAAGCTTTAGAAATTCTAGTATCAGCTGATAAAATGTAATATGGCCAAAAATTAACCCAACTCCAAAAGTGCTGGCTAGACAGTACTTTACTGACTGATTGTCAGTTGTCAAAAATGATTATTAGGTCTAAATGGTCAAATTTTAAAACTCAATTTAATTGGCAAAAACGTAAAATTATGAGAAATAATTATTTCCCTCAGGTATGTGCTCATCATAAAATAAAACATGCAGCATACTAATATTAGCAATATTAGAGCCTTGCCTAACAGTCAATGAAATCTAGCATAGCTAACAATAAGTGAAAGTTAACATGACTAACAATAAGTGAATGTTTACATGGCTAACAATAAGTGAAAGTTTACATGGCGAACAATAAGTAAATGGTTAACAATGAGTGAAATGTAATATGGCTAACCATGAGTGAAATTCAATGTGACTAACAATGAATCAAAGTTAACTTGGCTAACAATCAGTGAAACTCAAGACTAACAATGAGTGAATGTTAACGTGACTAACGATAAGCGACAGTAAAATAGCTAACAATCAGTGAAAGCTAACATGGCTAACAATAAGTGAAAGTTAACATGGCTAACAATAAGTGAAAGTTAACATGACTAACAATAAGTGAAAGTTTACATGGCGAACAATACGTGAAAGTTAACATGGCTAACAATAAGTGAAAGTTAACATGGCTAACAATAAGTGAAAGTTTACATGGCGAACAATAAGCAAATGTTTACATGGATGATAATAAGTGAAAGTTTACATGGCGAACAATAAATGAACATTTACGTGGTTAACAATGAGTGAAATGTAATATGGCTAACCATGAGTGAAATTCAATGTGACTAACAGTGAATCAAAGTTAACTTGGCTAACAATCAGTGAAAGCTAACATGGCTTACAATCAGTGAAAGTTAACATAGCTAACATAGAGTGAAGCCACTTAGCTTAAAATCATGGTAACTACAGTAACTGTCTCTTCTGAATCTTCTGAATCAAATTCATAACACCATGAGCTCATTCTATTCCTTCCCTTTACACGTTCTCCCTCAGGCCAACACTCCGTCTGTGGCATTTCAACATTAATGATTAATCTATGCTAGCTCACATGTGATCAATGTTGTTAGATGAAATTAGTGCTGGAAACTGGACATTTATCACTCACTGTCCTGGAAATCTGCAATCAACACATGATACTTTGCTTCCATTCACACATTACAAATATGTGCAAAATATAAAAAAAGTGTTTAAGGGCATTCATAGCGGCTAATCTGAACCCTGTTTGTCCCCTGTTTAGAAAGTCACGATGCTGGGGTCACTGCTTCAGCAAGGTGGTAGATTTGGCGAGACTCCACAGGCCTGGTAAGCCGGTGAAGAGGTGTTGGAATGAATAATGCATGGTGCAGCTGCTGGGGAGTTTTTGATCTCTCTCAACTTCACAGCAGCTGCCACTGGGGGAGAGATCCTAGCCTAACGTCTGCTCGGACCACATCTGTCTGTCGAGAGCACTTACTGAGATACGCCGGCAAAGATATCTTCCTTCTGTCTACGGGAGGAGGAGGAGGAGGACAGTGGGCCAAGCACCAACAAAGCTATACTCAATCGGTAGGGTGTTTACTGCAGTACTGTACGATATCGCAGTCTAACACAGCACAATAGAAAAGTAACTTATGTGGAAAAAAGTGATGTACTGAATTGACTGGATTCTAATGTGTACATTATTTCAGATGAATAAAATATGTTACAGTTACAAAATATTACAATGTTGTAATACATGAAAGGTTTCATTCCAACTAGCATTAAATGCCACTTTTATTAATTCTCTTTTTTCCATGATATTCCATGATTTTTTGACAAAGTGGGCTACATGTCAGCTGCTATTCTTTTCAAACCTCTGTACATCCAAAAATTTTTGGAAATTTTTGGAAAGCATTTTGGAATGAAACTCCTCATACAATACTGCACAAAAATCAAAGACCCCTTCACTCATTTAATTTTCAGTCAAAATGCCATTAAGTTCTTCATTTTTCAGGAGATATACAAGATAATCCATGTGCATAAAAAATATAAGACACTCCATGTGCATAAAAAGGGAAAAGTGGGACTCCTAACAACCATGCAACACCTGGTAGACCACCAGAAAAGAGCACTTTTATCTTTGAGAGAGAGGAGAAAATCAAGCTCCACTTTCGCTTCAGATCTGAAAAAATCTACAGGTGTTTCTGCCCATCCTTCCACTGTGAGAAGACAACTCGACACTGTGAGTCTGAAAGGATGTGTAGCTGTCAAGAACCCTTACTGAGAAAGGGAAATAGACAAAAAAGAAGCTGCTGGTGTTCTGACAACAACGGACTGACCAAACCAGAGTCCAGATCTCAACATCACTGAATATGTGTGAGATTACTTGGATGGTGAGAAGCAGAAAATGCAACCAACTTCTAAAACTGAACTTCGTGGTTGTGAAAAACTTCCTTTTCTTTGAAAAAGTGAATGCAAGCCTCCCTCGTGCAATTTTCTGTTGAGCTTTTGTTTTTGCAAACGCTGAGAAATAAATAACTGGTACTTAATGGCTATTTTGACTGGTAATTAAATAAATGATAGGTGGTCTCCAACTTTTGCAGAGTACTGTATACAAATATTTTGTCTCTCAGTTTGCTCACATTTGGCAAAAATTGTGTTCATGTAATACATTTTATTCATGTTCAAATCAAGCAAATTCAGTGCATTGTGTTCTTACATGGTGAAGACTGTGCTCCATCTTTCCCTTTAACATAAGTACTCACAGTAAATATATCAATAGCACACCCAGACACAGTATAAGGCAATACAACTGTGAGCTATTGATCAACCACACTGACCAAAGGTTTGCCCATTACCTTTATATAAGTGCTCGCAGTATCAATAACACACACACAGTACGATTGTCATGAACCTGTGAGCTACTGAAAATCTGACAAACTACACTGACCAAAGCTTTTCTCGTTCTTTTCATGCCAGAAGCTGTGTTGTCCAGCCAGAAACTCCAGCTTTCCAATAAGCTTCTTGGACATTTCACTATTTACCTCATTAAAACTGAACCGCCTGGACATGGATACATCTCTATGTCTGGAAAATGATCAATTATGGTAAACAGAAGCAGTCAGGGGTCCGCGTTCATTTTTTCCACGGAGAGCACGGCGTTTGAGTGGCAGACACTTTTTTTCTTTTGAGGTACTTCAGACCAGCTGTCCTGCAGTTTAACCAAGCACGAGCCAAACCGCATTAACCCCACGCTGTTCAGAGCTGCTCTAAACGTGTGCTAGCATAAAAAAGAGGAATTTAGCTTATACACATATAAAAAAGATGGTTCTTCAAGGGTTCGTTAGTAAAAGCAATGGTTCTACCTAGAACCATGAGTTCTGTATAGAACCATTTCATGCTTAAATGATTGTTTGCATGGTGAAATCGTTCTTCAGATTGATGGAGATATGGAGAATGTGTAGGTTCTATATAGAACCTTTTTGAAAATTCTTCTATGTGGCACCAAAAAGGCTTCTTCTATTGTCATGATGTCAAGCTTGCAACAATAGAAAACCTTTTTTGTGTTATATAGAACCATTTTCATTCTCCATCAATTTGAAGAACATTTTCACCATGCAAAGAACCATTTAAGCATGAAATGGTTCTTTATACACTTTTAAATAAAATGGTTCTTAGTAAAAGGAGTGAATGCATTCAGAACCACGAGTTCTACCTAAAACCATTTCATGCTTAAATGGTTCTTTGCATGGTTTTCATGGTTCTGCTGATTGATAGAGAATGTGTTGTATATGGTTCTATATAGCAGCTTTTTGAAAATGGTTCCACATAGCACCAAAAAGGGTTCTGCTATTGTTACAAGCTTGGCACTGTAACAGTAGAAGAACCCTTTCTTGTGCTGTATTTGACTGCATACAACACACTCTCCACCAGAAGAACCATTTGACCATTTAAGCATGAAATGGTTGTTAAAAAAAAAAACACGGTTCTAAATAGAACCATTTATTTACTAAAGAATCCTTGAAGAACCATCTTTTTAAGTGTGTATGGTGGAGAGGAAAGTCCCAAAATCTGGAAGCACCACCCCGGTGGATGTGGAAAGATGCCCAAGGCTTAAGTAGCAAAAAACGGAGAACCCAGTGGATGTGCACGGGGGCCCCGGGCAGTTGTGCTGCGTTCCAGAAGACTTCCACTCACACTGACCCTATAAGAACTGCGTGTTTGGTCTTCTTGGCTTGAGTGGCTCCCGTATCCCGGAGATCCTGCAGCACCGGGACAGCAGGTGCCAGCTTTCCTGCCTCCTGACCCTGTCTGCTACCACTGTCTGCTGAAAAACCTCAACAAGACTTCAACGGAGTGGTCACTGGGATGCAGACCCAGTCTCACACAGTGGACGCTTCATTGTAGTTCCAGCATCAATTCCAAAGCAAAGTCGCCAGCAATTCGTCAGTTTAACAAAACCTCGTATGTCTGAAACAGCAACTTTATACGAGAGCAGAAAAAAACAAAAACTGCTTAACGTTAATGCAACAGCATCTGACTCCATGTCATTTTGGACTGTGTTTCTATTGGTCCATTCATCATGAAATGTTCCCACAGTGTGCAGAGCAGCCGGTGGAACAGTGTAGGAAATAAAACACGTAAAACTGTGTGAGCTGTTGAAATGAGGGGGAAGTGCAGAAATAGCAGTAAAAAGAGCGAAGTTTTCTTCCTACCTCGAGCTGCTGCTGGAAGAGTGCGCGAATTGTTGCACTTGCAGGGCGAGACGGGTTCGTCCTCAGAGGATGCTCAGCCTCGCCGTGACCACAAAAACTCAACTCAGACTGATTCACAGCGTCAGATTTGCGCCGAAACAGCAGAAACGAGAAGCAATCGGAGCTCGCGCCTACCGGAGAGATGCGGAGGTGCGCGCGCTCTCCCGGTAGAAAGCTGTGTGAAACAAAGAGGGGGCTGGCAGGCAGCGGGCGGGCAGGAGATGTGCTCCTGCTCCTGCTCCCCCCCACCACCTCCTCCTCCTCCTCCTCCTCCTCCTCCGCCCCCCTCCTTCCCGCAGGGGGAACGTCACCCACGGCCCCCTCGCGCTCCTGATCATGCGCACAAAGCAGTCTAGCATAAAGGACGTGAGGGCCCGCTTTAATTTCGGAGACAGAGCCCCACCAACTGATTAACTACAGCTGCTGTTCACGAGACTAACTCACTGACTGGTGACACGCAGCTGATTCTCAGTCGCATTAGGTTTAGGGTTTGCGATCAGAATCAGGGTTAGTATCTGGGATTAGATTTTTCATGGGAGTGTTCAGTTTTAGGGAAAAGTTAAAGACATGGTTTGGAATAAAATGATTTATATTTTTATAGATGACTGGACCCAGGGATGGCGCCACACCTCCAAAAGTGGTGGGCTAAAGCGAGCTAACAGAACAGTGGCAAGAACAGAGGCTGACCTTTCTCTCTGCAAAAAAAAACAAAAAAACAACCAGGCCACTTTCTAATGTACCTACAGTCTAACTTAAACTAGCTTTCAGTAACATGTAGCTGAGCTCATAGATGTAATGGAAAAACATTTTCAACAAAAGTTTTACTGCATGGTTTATTGGCTCGACTCTAACTTTGCTAGAGAGCATCTGTGAAGAATATCAAGTTCTAGCTTAGGTAGCTGTAAGAATATTGTGACTGATATTTTGTAAATCTTATATAGTGTAATAAACTGCGATCAACTGTGGTAAATTTGTTCATGCATCGTAGTAAAAGTATGTAAACAAAAGAATTTAGTTTGTCATATATATATATATATATATATATATATATATATATATATGCCTGTTGCCCTTTACATGGTGTGTAAATTTCATGATGAATGGACGAAAAGAAACAGCACAAAATTACTTGGAAAAAAGTCTGGTTCCTTTGACTTACATTAAAAGTAAAGTAGGTTTTTTCCTTCTCCTGTAAAGTCATCATTTTGGAGGTTTTGTTCTGACAGCAGCAATTTGTAAGGTCAGACACTGATGTTGGATCAGAGGGTCTGGCTCACAATCTCTGTTCTAGTTCATCCCGAAGGTGTTTGACGGGGCTGAGGTTAGGGCTCTGTTCTTCCACACCAAACTCACCCAGCCATGCCTTTGTGGACCTTGCTTTGTGCACTGGGTCACAGTCATGCTGGAACAGAAAAGGGCCTTCCCCAAAGTGTTCCCCAAAGTTAGAAGCACACAGTTGTCCAAAATATCTTGGTAAGCTAAAGCATTAAGATTTCCTTTCACTGGAACGAAGGAGCCTAGCCCAACCCCTAAATAACAACCCCATAGCATTATCCCCCCTCCACCAAACTTTACATTCAGGCAGTTAACATTCTCCTGTCATTTGCCAAACCTAGACCCATCTTTCAGACTGCCACATAGAGAAGTGTGATTCGTCACTCCACAGAATATGTTTCCACTGCTCCAGAATCCAGTGGTATATGAAATGTATATCACTATACCACAGTAATACTTCTACAAGCACGACTTCTGCCTCAGGCTGCCAAAGAGGCTCTGTAGCCGTGGCCATGCAGGGGGCCATGTGGAAAGTGGGTACTCCCCTAAAAAGAACTGAATAATATTATTTATGTTGTTGTTGCTCTAGTTGTGTAAGTTGGGCTCATCGCGCTCACCATCATAGACTCCCCAATACACCTACTGCAACCAGGCGTGCCCATGCACACAAAGAGGGGCACATCAAACTGCTAAGACGACCATAATCCAGCTCAGGTCAGTCACCAGTAACAGAGTCATGGCCCCAGCACACATGATCGGCTCTCACACCAATGTTGATGGCGTGGTGGGTGGCAGACAAAGTGGATGGCAGCCCGGTGGAGCATCGTTCTTACTGCCGTTGCCCCCAGCTGCGAGGGAGCTTGACGTGGCATGCTGTGGGGAGTTCCGTCATGTGCAGAAGGAGCTGAGACAGCAAGGATGCAGCCCAGGGTGAAGACTGGGGATGCTCACAGCGTTTGTCCTGTCAGAAAATGCACACAACCAAGATACTTGGCTCGGGTCGCTAGGATGGTCAACTTTTTTTTTGCGATCAACTTTTTATTGCATTTTTCATTATCTTTTACAACAAGGATGGGGAAAGGTAAGGGGGAGGGGAAGGCAGGACGGTGACATACATTTTTAGGAATGCACACAAATCAAAAATAAAGCAAAGAGAATACATGCACAACTACACAACTAAACAGCATCACATAATTTAATTGGAAACTAAAGTTCTTGAATAAAGTCATATAAATTCTCCCAGTTTCTTGTTGTTAACTGGGTGGTCAACTTTTGAAGGGGGGCTATGTAGCATCCCACTACTGGCTCACACTGCTGTAGAGGCTCTGAAGGTGTGGCCATGTAGAGGGCCATGCAAAGAGGCTCATGGTAGGCATGCTGATTATGATTCAGGCATGCAGGTTGCACATCCTTGTGGAGTCTTTTTTGAACTCCACAGTGATGTTCAAATTTGCCCTCTCCTGTGTGCACACATAAGATATTCTGCTGTCACTGTCTAGATGACCTGTCTGAAAAATATGTCCTTCCAAAATGCAAACATCAATAGTCCAGTGGCATTTTACTTTGGATAAAGTGGAAAACCAAGTAAAATGTAAAATCTGTATTGAAAAATTGGCTTACAATCAAACAGCATTGCCAGGGCCAAAGCATCTACCCACCTGAGGAATTTGACAGAGAAGAATGAGGTACAACACAACCAGCCCTCATGAGTCAGCTAAGTTGATGTAGTGTTAGCTCTCCAAGTTAATATAATGTTAGCTCTCCGCACTTCCTTGCTAAGGCCAAACATAATTAATATCAAACTCTTTATTCTTGCCAGACACTCTTCTCTATTTTTTGGTTTCTGGAATCAAAATTATTGTGTGGACTCATCTCTTGGAACTGACTCTAGCAATTCCTGCCACATGGAATCAGAATTGGAGTTGGAGGCTTCCAAATTTGTGCAATCGAATAGCCTAACAAACTTCCCACACAGCAGCAGGGAGTGATTATACCACATGAATATTGTCTTTATGGAACATGAACAATTACCTATAGCAGCTCACCAGATTGCTCAATAATCATGCACTTTCACAATGTACAGCACTTACAATAGAACAGAATAGGCTAGAGGAGCTATATGGCTAATGCTACACAGCCCAACAGGGCTACACTCAGGAGTATGCAAATGTGGTAACACCCAGACAAACAGCAGTCACCACAGTAATTTTAGCAACATTAGTACTGTTGCTCCATCAGTTCTTAGTTTTATTAAATATGCTGCCTAGTAAGGTAATCATATGTTGGCTTTTCGATTACATTTCATCAGTAGGACCATTCCACAGCGAATGCCACTGATAATGCTAGATGCTGCTAAGATACGTTAGTTTCACATCTACTTCAACCAGTATATGGTGAGTACATGCATGTATAAATACCATTTTATGAAGAATTTCATAAATAGTGTGTTTGTCATTTACGTACATCCAAAGTATAGGTAGATAATCAGGTCAGCTAGCTCTGCATCTCAGGCTGTTGTTTCAAGTGGCTATCCAGCTAGCTAGCTAAATTGTTATTTCAGCTAGCTAGTGCTTGGCTGTTACTCTTGTGGTCTAAGTGTAATTATCAAGGTAACGTTAGCTAATCAGTTGTCCCAGCTATGTGGGCTAGTCATGGGCGGTTAACTATGACTGTGAGAATTTGTTGATACTTACAACACACACCTTGACTCACAAACATACACCTTGACGAATGCTGTGGTAACACTGACGCCAGTCAGGGGAAATAAATGATTGATAATGTAATCCTATCTAACTAGTGTTTCAATAACCTTTTGTCTTAGGTTCCATTACATTACAAAAAACATGCCTACCTAGACACATAAGAGCAAGGCAGCTTCTGCCTTATAATGTACTGAAACATAGTCTAAGTCAAAGTTATAAGGAAAAAACAAGGTAAGCATCTACAGTAGGCCCACCAAATAAATGATTTTTAATATTTATACCAGTGCAGCTTTCATTTCACATGTAATATACAAAACTGTTGCAAGAAGGAAATTGTGCTTCTTCTGCTTAGAACACACCTTTCTAAGAAGCATTCAAACATCTCATAGAAGAGGAGAAAACCATTAATTAATTATTTTGGGCACTTAAAATAAAAAAAAAATATTAAATATTAAATGACCATGTTTTTAAATTTTGTGCATGGAGTTCACATTTTTCAGCTGAAAAATGTTTCAGCTATTTTTTTTGCGTTTATTTGTTTGGCATTTGTGGCAAGAACTGAGCCTTTAGCTCAATCCCTCAATCTTCTTTAATGTACCTCAGAACTTCAAAGACTGAGGTTTAGAACAGGAGTGTTCACACTTTAGAGGTGAGGAGGAAGAGGAACTGAGAGATGGATGGAAGGATGCATGGATGGATGGATAATCAGACAGACAGAAAGACAGACAGACAGATAAATAGATAGAAAGATAGACTGATTCATAAACAGATGCATAGACACATATTAAGAGTGTAATGATTTCAATGTAGTATCAAAAAATTGTGTATCGAAATGTCCAACTGTTAACAATACACCCTTCCTTCTGTCTCTTCTGAGGGTCTCTCATTTCTTGGAAAGCATAAAACATGAAAATACTGAAACAGTAACAACCAAAGAGAATTCAAATTTCAAACTCAGAGTAGGTTTTGTATATACTTGGATTGTGAGTAACAGAAAATGTGACCAACTTGTAAGACTGAACTTTGGAGGTGTGAAAAAATAATATCCCTGCAGGCAAATCTGCCAAAACAAATGGAAGCTTTAATAAAGGCAAAATGGAGGGCTCACTATATACTGAAAAATGTGATATTAAATTTAGATTTTGAGCCTTCTGTGTAATTTTGTGTGAAATATTTGTTTTCT